CCTCTGTGCCTGTGGAGCAACATGCCAATGCTGCGGGGATGCGTACGCGCAGTAATCTCATCCACAGTCACTTCTTGTGAGCCATTTAGTATGTGCATTTTTCTACAGGCCAATACAAAACACCTGTTTTTTTTTTTTGTTTTTTTTTTTACTGCAGTGAAGTAGAAATTCAGCCACATACCATCTTAGGGAATAAAGGTTGAATAAAGTTTTTTCTTTATATATATATATATATATATATATATATATATATATATATATATATATATATATATATATATATATATATATATATATATATTTTATTTTATTTATTTATTTTTTTTTTTGGAGGGGGTGGGGGTGTCACTGTAAGATTTAAATTTCTTAATGCACTAGTTTGTACAAACTACTTTGCCGCACACCACAAAACGCGCAAAATCATCATTTAAATACGGCGTCTCCAACAGTTTTGCACCTGCCACGACTTACACAATCACTCTTGTTAAATCACCCGCAAACCATGGTTCAGCCCCTTGCGCAAAATTCCAAACTGGAATTTTGCGCAAATTACTGCACGCAAAATTGGATCTTGATAAATCCGGCCCTCTGAGTCTTCCTCCTCTTGATAGTTTCCTCCCCGATGTCTCCATGGTTTCTGGTTTGTTTGACTTTCTTTTCATGTTTCGATTTTTGGATTTCCTGCCTCCGTGTTCAGTTGTTTGCTTGTTCATCATTAAATCATCAAGAAACTCATCTCTGCCTCCCTGCCTCTGCATTTAGGTCCACAAACCTCAACCAAATCCTGACAGTCATGTTTCAACTGATGCAGCTTGGGCTGTGTTTCACGCGCGCAAGCTGTTAGCTTTAAAATAATGTATCACACGTGTAATTTGGGCTTACAGTTTCTAGGTTATTTGCTTTTCCATTTGGGTATGCAAAATAGGCAAATATCTCCCAAAATGAGGCGGTTTACCAGTTTGTTTACCTGTCTGTACTACTTGTTTTGTAAGGAAAATAAAAAAACAACCAAAACCCTTTTTATTACTTACACTGTTGTATAGAGCAGCAAGCCTCCCATGTCTGCTGCTGTGAAGGGCAATAATAGGGTCCATGCTTACTGTGGGACTCTATTTTATCCCGCTGAATTGTAAATAATCTGAGTTTTAGCTAGTTAAATATGCAATAAGTGTGCAAGGCTGTCATGTCAATAGGAACTAACCCTCAGTGAGGTTTACCTTATATAGTAGCCCTGAGGTCTAACTTTTTATCTGAGTATCTGATAAAAAGTGGAGTCTGTTTCTTATTAGCAGCGAACACCTACTTTTCAACATATCGCACCTTGAATTATATTTCATTCGAAAGTTGGATGATAACAGCATTTATTTTCCCTTTGGCCTCAAAAATTATCATGAAAGTTAGCAAATCCTCTGGTTTCACTTTGCTGTGACGCTATTCTACCATTCAAATTCTGAAATGAATCAAATACAGAATTGGTCATGAATTTCATGGTGGCTACTGTTCGATGTCTGCCAAGGAGGGATTTCCCTTCAATAAGATCACAATACTAACAAATGGGGAGGGCTGCTTGAGAACTTAGCCGACCTTAAAACTTTGCTTTCCTCTCCAGGGTAGGTTGGCTCTGTGTGATTAGGTAACAGATTATCATTGGGAGGAGATCGTTGGTTCTCAGCCGTCCAGCTCAGTGGCTTCTCCAACCTTTACCTGCCACCCTGCCTTGCCTCTAAATCTGCTCTTATCTAATGACGAAGCCCCGTGCAGAGCCATGGACTCTCCAGTTTAAAGATGAGCTATGAAGCATGGTGTGTCACAGCTCAGATAGTGTGTGTAGGAGTTTAGAGTTGGGGTTTACTCTTCACTTGTCAGCCAATCAAATCAATGTTATGCAAACCTATTAGTCAGAGGTTGCAGCACTCAGGGACTTTCCCTCAGGGTCAAACTCACTGATGAGCTTTCACCTCTGTTAGGAGGGAATAGTAGGATTTTCTACTTGGTAAAAAGAATGTATTAATTTTACCATTAAATATTGACTCAAATGTGTCTTCCTGACACACATTTAACACAACTTTTTGAGTAACCTTTGTAAATATTACCTTGAATTTGGACTAAATTAATACTACAGTATTCACATCTCATTAAACATTACACATCTCGAATTATATTAAAACCACTGACTAACATATGATATTTTATATGATAGTACAGCATTTTTGTTAAATTGGAGGCTACCTATCTCTTAAACTATGTCCAAAAAGACTGAAAAGTGTGACAAGCTTTTCTGTTCAGTTGAGTAATTCATATTGGGTATATCAAATGGGTAGTAATACAAATGCAAGGCAAACTTTTGGGATTTCTTTTTCTCAAGAAAAAAGTTAAAACAATTTTCCTTCAATTTAAGTTTTATGCATCAGTGTGTGTTTTCTATAACTAAATTATTCCCAAAAACTTTTAGGTTTGTGGTTGTTACATGACAAGATGTATGAAAGTTTAAAAAGTATAAATTATTTTGCAAAGAGTGTTGCTTCCTCTATATTAAGTCACATTTCTTATGACAGACTTGGATTTACATAAGCTCACTGTAAGCGTTTTCTTTCATTTTAAACAGTTCTTCTATTATTAATATGTTGCCACAATGTTAATAATTAAATTGTATATTCCTAATAAGTGTTATTAGATTTTTTCTCATTATTATTTGCACAATTGAAGCCATCAATATAGAATCTGAAAAACTATTCCGAGCTGGTAAAATCACACCACCTTACATATCTGTAAGATTGACTGGGATTTTAACACTGTGCTTTTAGTATGCGTTGGATCAACCATACCTGTCCGTGCGACCAGGGTATTGCTGACACAGGTGGAGGGAGGGACTCTCAGTGGACCTCCTAAAGCCATTAAGAAAACGCTCCTTGGAACAGCGACTGAATAAGCTCAGCATGGCTTTGACTTCCACTAATCATCTTAGCCAAAGCATGCAGCCTCTCAATGTGCCTGGATAGGAACACCTGCGCAGGGCAACATCGACTGCATGGTGGTCATCATCAGTAAGCCCTCTTATCTTCATCATCAGCAGCATCATCATGCAATTCTCAGAAATAAGTAAGCTCATTTCACAGATGCAGCAGCAGATGATGAACGCTGCAAACAAGTTCAATTTTTCATACATATGATTTAAATGTAACCTTATGAACTAAAGTCCATACTAAAACCCTACCTCTCGTTAAGACATTCAAACTGCATGTAACATCTATAAGTAAAACGTTTGAAGATATTAGCATAACTGAGTGCTCTGTATCTATATTTTCTCTAGGTTTATAGCTTAGAGCTGCCTTTAATTGCCAATGTAGATGGTATTGCTTAATCAGTTACCATCTAAATATGCAGCTAAAATCCCCCCAGCAAAATATAGCCAGAGGAAATAATGGACTGCATAGAAAGATGTATGATGGACTTTGGGAGAAGAAACTTTAACCTCATTGTGTGTATACTGAATTTGCATGCCATCCAATTTGCTTATACATACCGCCTGGAAAAATAGCACTGCCATTACTGTCAGAGAGATCGAACCTGATCATATGAACTTTCACAGTGCATATAAATTTAATAATTGCATTATAACTTTTGCAATAACATAGTCAAACGGGGGGAAATGGGATATATAACTTCATTTGCAATTCCTTTGTGATGCATACATAAGCTGCAAGCCAATAGCAAATTTGGCTGCTGCTACTGGCCCCACCACAATGATTTCAGGGAACAAGACTCTAGTAAGAGTGGTGGGGACATTTTGTTGACGTAAATACAAAGTTTGTTTGAAGGCAAACATAAAATCATGTACAATACCTCATTGCTGTTACACAGGAATATTTCAGACATAAAAACTCATAATTTTTAACTTTCAAACACACAGTATCTCCAGTATCTCACACTCATGTCAGACAACTTTTTCCCCACTTTATCTTTATTGTTTTTAACAATAAAAGAAACCATGCATTGATCTCAGCCCTCTGAGCATCAGCAAAGTACAAAACCAAAACAAAGTGAACACTCAAAGACAGCAACCGGTTGTCAGATAGAAAAGTCAGACAGTTTCCGAGGCTAATTTATGTTATCCATTTTTCTTTAAATTTAGCTTTTTAAATCTAAATTAAGCCATTCTTTCCATTGTGAATATTTCCTCCACAATGTCCATCCACTGAGTATGGTTGGGTGGCTCAGGTCTAAGCCATCCTTTTATATGGCTTTCCTCCCTGCTGACAGTAATATCTCAACCAAATACTGATCATCTTTTTTCACATTACACATAAGGCCAAAATACATTGTGGCAAAAGTAAATGGAACAGAATACAACAGTACTTTGCACTGAGTACGGTGGATAGAAGACCAGGAAGTTTTATCTCAACGAAGTTCCAGAAAACATGTGCATGGTTGGCGTCAGCTGTGCCACATTGCCTCCAAAACATATTTGTTGGGTGGACAGTTGTTTACTTTTAATAGATGGCGTTTTCCAGTTGAATTTCCTCCATTTTAGTGAATTTGTAGAAGTCTGAAACATCTGACAGATTTTATACCATTCTTCATTTGAAATTGTGACCATTGTTTCTTTTCCTCACTTTTCTTTTACCTACAGAGTTGTATTTGTTTGACATGACATTAGGCTAGTGTACAGCTGTGAGATATTTTTTTGAGTTTTATGTTGATATGTCTCCAGAAACGCATTGGGATTACTTCCATCTTTGATTTCTTTATTATAATATTCTCTTAGTTGTAGGTATCGAAAGAAATCCCTATTATAAAGTCCGAATTTTTCAGACCACTTTTTATTTTTTTTACTTTTTAAGTGGTTACCAATCGGCACCTGTTAAATAAGGCTGACGGTAAACTCACCAACAACACACACTTCTTAAGTTAATCGCCATTCAAGTCCCGTCTCCTGTTGCCAGGACAACGCCGTCTCCCATTGGTCGCTACTTGCCCACGTGACGCAGCTGTGGGCTGAGCATAGTCTGAGTGAGCAGCCGTTGAGAACACATTCAGCCTCGCTTTTAGAGTTTGGACCGTGAGCAACCGGCTATTGCTGCTACTGTGAGGCTTTAGTTTGTTTCCCACCTGGTTTCAAAGCTCTTTTACTCGAAGTAATGGACTATTAAGAAGACTTTTTAAAAGAAGAATCCCTCAACGAAACTGAAAAAGCGAGGTAAGTCGTTGCTAATGTCCTCGCCTGTCACAGAGTTCACCGTACCCTCTTCCTGATACTTTTATTTACTCACAGCTCAGTTCAAATTGGTTTGCAACCCGAACAAAAAGTAATTTCTGACTATTTCAATTACTGTTAGTAGCTCTGAGGTCAATTTTAGGGACGAAACTTAACTGTTTCTTCTACACATTTGCCCTGCAGCAGCATTATACATCGCTAGCCGCTGATCAGGCTTCACCTACATTTCTAATCGGATGAAGGTGCTCCTTTTCATCCCTAATGAAACCTCCAGAGAAGTCCTCATAGGTACTCGTTTTATTTGTATTTTAAGCGTGAACAGAGGAAGTGGAGCCCACACAAAGCCAAGTGAGGATCTGATTTCAGCAAATAGCCCATCAGTCAACTCAGTGGAATAAAGCAGGGGAGAAAAGGTAGTTTTTACTGCACTGGCTTCACTTTGACAACTGAGTGGAAATGTTTGCTTTCCTGCAAATGAATGTCTCTGGTAAATTGTCTGTGCTCTCAGTCAATAGAGTAAAAGCGATCACTCTGTTATACTCCTCAGCCTGCTGTCAGCTAAAGGCTTTTTTTTTGGTGTCACAGACATATGAGGATATTTCTTTTGTCTAGAAAATAAGAACAGAAAATGTCCAACATCATACTTCGCTGTTGCTCAAACATTGATCTTGCATTTAAAAAGATCAGTTTTTCTCAAAAGTATATCTGCTCACATTTAATGCATACTGCACAAATATTTGCTCCTTATTTAAAAAAAAATCTGGCTTCTTGCACCTCTTCTGTAGGGATTAAGGCTATTTTTATTTATTTATTTTTTGCTTGCTAAAGGTCCTTTTTCCTCTTTTGGAATTAACACTTTGACTTTGTCATCTTTGCCTTTTAACTAAAGAGGAGGAATTTAAACACATGAAAATAGTTTTAAACAGATGTTTAAGGACAGAAACATGTTCTTGTAGAATAGTGAGATCATATTTATAATGTATCATTTTAAAGTAAAGATTAATAAAATGTCCGAGAGCAAAAATCATGTCTTTGTCTGAAATTAAATGGTAAAAATGCTGAATTTACATTGTGCTTATCAAGCCACTGTAACCCATTTAAATCTAAATCCACCAATTTGAAAATACAATTGTACTATTTTATACTTCAGTAGGCAGATTGGTTGGTAATATGGAGTTAGCTGCATTTCCTAGCAGATCATAAACGTATAACAAGAGGAAGCTAAAATCAGACACGTGTCTACCAAAAGAACAATATGTCAGTTTGGGGCTTTTGAGTGTTTGTTAATAATTTTGATGATTGAGAAGTTGCATAGGAGAGTGGCGGAGCTTTAAAGAACTTTTTAATTGGTGCAGTTAAGGTTATGACGTTATTTTAAAAGCTGAAAGTTTAAAATAGTTTGTGTCTCTCAGTTAAGATTGTTTCAAATTAAATTTAGTCCACAGTGCTTAATATCCTAATTGTATTATCAAAATTCCCATAAAACCTCCTTATTCTACAGTGGTTAAAGAAGTACAATACTGAAGTTTCATGCTGAACCACAAGTTAAATCCCTTTGTTTCTATGTAAAGGCCCTCTAAGCTTTATATACAAATACACAGTTATTTATTCAGACAAACAACTTGAGGCTTTGCATCACATGAGCATCTCTGGTAAATTATGCATTCAGTCAGTACTTGGGCTACACTGTCTTTATTTTTAATCTGCTGGATTCAGAGTCTGTTGTCCTAGTGTAAATTGGTACATTCAGTTGTTGGCTCATTAACACTGCATTTGGTTTCTACATTTTTCTTAGCTAATATTCCAAACAGTTTTACTTATTAGGTTGATTTGTATGCTTCCAAAAGTGTACATTAAAAGCTTATTAAAAGAGCATTCAACCCACACCAGTCCAGAAATCCTGGGCTAGTTTATGTCATTGAATCTGGATTGAAACATGGATGAAAATTACAGAAAAAACTAAAATAATTGTTTAAATTTGTTTTAGATATCAGCCTAAATAATCTGTTTTCATCAGTGTATAATATGTATAAAATACCAGTTTTTAACTATAAAAACAGTATCGGAACCTTCTTCCTTCGTTGAACAGTGCAGTTTACTTCTGATCTGTTCCCAACTTCAGATTAAAGTCAAATTTACAAATTGAGTTTTAGTTGATAGGAGTTTGGGATCATTTAGTATCAATGTATATCACAATATAAATTTATTCAGTAATTGTGGTACAGCTTTTTTTATTCCCTGATATTCCAGGATTTATGTTGTGTGAGGTGTTTTTAATTTTTAAGGCGAATATTTCTAAGAAAATATATATTGGAGGAGTCGCGTAAACGTGGCAGAATAATTGGCATGACAAGTTTGTAAAGGCATCTATTTTGGTCTTTTTGGCGGTCTTTCTCAGGTTTTTTGTTTGTATCGATATTGAAATAATATATCCTTTAAAATTGTAATTTCAGTTTTGGCTTTATCAATGAGTGCTATTGGGAACTTTAACAAACTTTTTTATTGGTTTGAAAACTAGAAAAAGATGCTAGCCAATTTTCCAATTAGATCCCTGGTTCTTAAGCTGCTCTAAAAATACCCCTTATAATTGTTGAGCTGCCGTCAGTGGCACCTAAAAGAAATGTCCAAATTAATTACTGTTAAAGGAAATACAAACAAATAAACCCTGATCTAAAGCTTGTATAAAAACCTATAAAAACCAGTGGAGACATTTTCATGAAACTCAAATTTGGATGACAGGGAATCAGGAACCTGTGTTATTTTATAAGGGATCAGGCCTTCTTACTAGAAATTATATTAAATTCAATTAGGGCTAAAACTATTATTTAGATTAATCGTGATTAATAGATTATTGAAATAATCTTCAGCTAATTTAGTCATCGATTAATCATTAACCGTGGGGTAGAGACTGTAAAATATGTTTTTAGCTAAAGCCAAAAATATTTAAAAATTTTGTTTTTAAGATAAAAAAAGTTTTCATCTTCAAATGTACTATATCCAAAACTCCTCAAGTAGGAAAGTTTTTGTTTCACCTTGTTTAATTGTTGTAGAAACTCTTATTTAAGGAACCTTTGGCTATCCAATTATTAATCGATTAATCAAAAAAATGATTGACAGATTAATTGATTCGCAAAAAAAGTTGCAGCCCTAAATTCAACTCAATCATGTTTAAGATTAACCAACTAATTTATTTAGTGGCTAGGCTAACTAACGCTAGCAATTAATATTTCTTTGCATCATTATGTACTTTAAAACATAATCCATGTTAACTAATATTTTTCTGTACTGTTTGAAGAAGCACATTAACTTTTTTTTTATGTTTGAGCTGTATCTATTACTAAGGCTTATTCGAAAGGCACCCATATTAGATCATTGGACCATTTTTTTTATTTTTATAAAGTTTGGTAATTAACATATTTATTAAAGTTACTCCAGTATGTGTATACATGTATATAGACTTTTTACATGATATATGGTTTGTGGTAGAATGTCCACCGGGAGAACCTTCAGTGTGTTCCCGGGGGTGTTAATGGAAACTGAAATAGATGCGTAAAATGATACCGTGTCAAAAGAGGACGAGGTTTCCTAATCCAGATAAAACATTTAGTTGCAGAAAATAAGAAGAATTAAGCCTTTTTGCATGGAGGAAACAAACAAACAAACAAAATAGCTTCAACAGACAAAGCTGTGTGACATCATCACTTTTGAATTGGATTTTAGTAATATGTAACTCGAGGTGCCAATAAAACAACGAGGACATTCGAAGAGCGGAAGAGGTGTAGTAACAGGGTTGGAGTCAAGATAGTGGTCGCTGCAGTGCTAAAAGCTTCTCTTCAAACATCTGAAGATGCCAAGCTCCTACAGATGATTGTTATATTTAAATGGATTCCCTACTTTATTCTGCATGACTGGGTTTTTTGTTTGGTTTGGGCCAGATTGACGGTAAAAACAGCACAGTTTGTCTCATCGATGGGGCAGTTGGTGCTCTTTTGAATTGAATTAGTGCTTTTTTAAACATAGTAGGAGGAGTGAGTGATATGGGGTAAATCCAGGATAAGGGGAGCAGTAAAGAGAGAAGAGAAATGAGTACAGAAGATTTTGATAGGACACTGCTTGTTCTCTTTCTGCTCCTCTGCAGCAGATGCAAGTTACTAAGAGGAATGGGAGATGCTCAGTCGTCTCATTGACATTTCCACCCCTTCTGGCTTTTGTTTCTGTTCGGCAGGGAAACACATTTAGTTATTCAGGGGAAAATGAGTGTTGCTCTCCGCATATAATGGCATCAATTTTCTCTGAGTGTTTGTCCAATGCTCAGTCTGTTTTGCAGCTCTTCCCTTCATCTCTGTCTGCCGTCATTGGCATTTTGTTATCTTGTTCTCATCCGCTCCTCATAATGGCTTCAGTGTCATGATTGTGGTTTTCTGCAGCGCCTTGACGCAAAGAGCTCTTCGACTCACAATGGGAGCCGATGTGTGCTGGATTATGATGAAGTTTAGGCCTCTTGTTTCACACTTTCTTAAAAAACAACAAAACAAAAAAATTACAAGGACAAAACCGTGAAAGTTGTTAGTCTGTGTTTTGAAAAATGCTTTAAATTAGTTTCTTAGGAGATGGTGATTTGCAAGTTTATTTAAATACCACTGATAATAAGATTATAATGGAGGGTTCACTATTGTAACCTTCTACAGTAGATTACCATCAACATTTCTTTTCAGCTGTAGATAAAAGATATGCAATATAAACAAACATCTTAGGAGATTTGCATTTCGGCTTATTTGCTCAATAGTTTTGTATGCAACCACTGAGCTGTGAAGAGGAAATGTACCGTTTTCATTTATTTTCACTGCAACCTGATGCAATTTGCAGTTCAAATTAGTTCATTTCAATGTGACTTTGAATAATAAGTGCATTTATTAACTTTTTGCTAATCTGTGGTTCAGTATTTGTCCTGTCAGTCACAGTTTAGAGATGATCAAAGGAAA